TGGAAGACATGGATTCCAGGCCCCGTCCTAATAAAGACTTCTGATGCAATTCTCGGAAAGACAGTAACAGATCCTCTGGTATGGGAAGCAGAGCAAAATTTCAGTAGCTAAATTTAAAGGTGTGATCCTCAAACCCCAGAATTTCAAAAGCCCTTAAGTTTTTAAATTCTTCAAAGATTTCAAGTTTTGAGTAGGTTGACAACTACCTATCTATGTGTAGGCACCATCTAAATTCCTGCTTATAGGCAAACGCAGAACATGCCCAGCACACATCTGTAGGACCACACTCCACACACAACAGCAATCATATCCATCACTAAAAAAAATCTGGGAAGGGGTCTGGAGAAAGGGTAAGCAGCATCAACCCTTTCATCAATCAGAATGTAGGAAACCTGAGGCAGATGCAAACCTACAAACTTCACCTCCCTGGAGAGTTCCACCAAACACCCTGCTAAAATATTTGAAGATTAGGGCACTTAATTTGTAAATCTGAAATGCCCATGTGACAGTCCTTGGCCTAAGGAAAAGAAACAATCTTATCATGAACAAGTTCTCTAAAAGCTAGACCACTAAATAGAAGCCTGCAGTTTTCTCTTTTCCCTTTCTCTCTCTCTCTGTGTATTTCAAAGGAAAAAATAATATTAGCCTACACCATTTTTTTTACAAGGGCAATCTAGGTACAAAACACAGGTTTCAGCCTGTGAAACCAAAACTGACACCTCTCTGCTGTCAGAAGTTGAATGCTTAAACATCAGAAGAGAAAAACTTAAGATTCAACCCTCCCTTTAAAATTTCCTATCAGATATATTAAGATATACTTCCTTTTAGCAGTTTGGCTGCTGCAAAACCTAATCCTAAGTATTTAACTTATTGGGTAGGAAACATTTCTAATTCAGAGCCAAAGATTCCACTCCAGGACTTCACTGGCCAAATCCTTCAGTGCATCTCACCTTAGGATTTTGGTGCTTGTGTCCTCAAATTGTATCGATAGGCTAAATGTTACATATTCCAGAAAAGTACCTAGTGAAAGGTCAGAACAAAGGACCCATTCATGTAGCCATACTACAGTACAGGTGATGTTTGGGCAGGAGCAAATTGTAAATAGGCTAGCATATTAATTAACAGAACACACAGTTAAAATGTTCTATGCAAAAACTGTTACTATATAAAGTTAAAGGGAAAACATTTGCCACCTACAGAGAAATTGAATCACTAGGTACCCATGGTGACAGCTGCTAATAATAATTTTTATATATTAAGCCTCTGCTGTGTTTTACATACACATGCCATTCTAGTGCTTGCTCATCTCTTACTATCTGCTCAGAAAATAATGCTACCTTTTTCAGCAGCATGTCCCAGCACAGTGTTCTTATGCTAACATGCACTATATATTAATATTCTTACAGTTTTCAGGCTTTTGGGGTTCAGTTGTGCTAAGGATGGAGACATTTTTGTCTACCATTCTGTCAACTAGAGCATATGCTTTCCTAAGAAGCATCTCTGATGACATTTATGACACCTCCATTGCTTCTCAAATCCACAGCCAGTCGAAGAGCTCTGCAGAGCAGCAAGGCCAAGCCAGCAGTAGCAGAAACAGTCACACTCCTGTCTTTGCACATTCAGAGAGAAGGCACTGCATGTTTCTCCCTTAAGTAGCCATCTCTGCAACCACTTGGTCACCATAACTAACTAGAGAAGTTTTCCATCTGCCCATTAAGGGCTTGTTAAGAAAATTTTCAACTGGCCCATGCTGACTGAGGAGAGAGGCTAGGATGCACTGTATAGAATTACAAGAGTGATTCTTTTATTCATGTGTATGAGGTGTCCCATTCAAACTGGGGCATGCCAAATGTGGTTTTACACATGGTTCTTATACCTTTATAGCGTTCAGGTACAACATGATTTGACTAATTGCTACTTAACACACACTACCATTTGCAAAGCAACTGTCTTTCTATGGCATCGTTATCCACCTGCTGCTCCACTGATCTAGATAACCCTGGAGTCAGTCTTGCTATACTTATCTATGACACCAGCTAATGGGAGGGTTTCACAGATGTGTTGGAGGGACTAGGATATTGATGTTATGTCGGTTGTTCAGTGGTATCCTTTAACCTTTGTGGACAGCTTTAAGATTCTGAGAATCAAAGGTCCTTGTCCAGGGCAGTGGGGAGTTGTCCTTCTTGTGATGAGGTGGGGTCCTTTAGTTTGCTTGCTTAAGCATGACTACTCAGTATACAATGTAAACTACATAACTATACATACATACATACATAAAGTTAATACAGTTTCACACTATAAAGACTAATTGGTATAGTAGTTAGGGAACGAGATTTTCCTAACAGGCTTTCAGCACCCAGAAAAAAGTTTCAGAGTTGCTCATTACTCGTTTGGCAGGTATGTACATCAACAGACACAACGAGGTTCCCACCTCAGAAGCTCACAGTTTTTGTTCAGGCCCCTGCTCACTGAATCCTTAAGCCCCCAAAGCCAGGCTCGCGTTATTAAGATGCGCCGTCCTTTCAGACACAGCTGCAGGAAGCAAGAGACTGCACCCCCAGAGGAGGCGCAGCCCCCCGGATCTCCCT